TGGAATTTATGGTCTGAATGGAAAATGCTTTGTGAGAAATGGAAAATGCTTTGTGAGACCACTATATTTCTGTCTAAACTATATGGTTTAATTTAGGAGTGCCTGAGTGACCCTAGCAGCTTCTGATATATAAGTGGTCAGGTTAAATGACCTCTATGTACTTTCTTGCCGGAAGCTCAGAGCAACAGCAAGTGGAGCATTTTGAAAGGGTCCCATTTGTTATTCTTTTAATTGCCTACTAATATTTCTTTTGGTGGGAAAGACTTAATAGAGCCCTCCAAATGTTTTTCAACCTATCCAAATTGCAATTCAGCCAAGACAAATACAGGTCTTCAGTTCTCTAGAAATGAAAAACAAACTTGATGGGGTTCCAGGAGATTCCTGTTCCTCATATAGCTCCGTAACACACCTTTGGCAAGTAATTCAAACCATCTATAACTTGATCCCCCACCCATGAAATGGTCTGATTATACTTTCTTTATCCCAGACTTTATTAATCTTGCCTAGTTAGGCTGTTCTCTGATAATGGGGTATGTCCAGCATCACAGGACCATGACCCAAGCTTGTAGAAAACACAGGATTGCATTAGGTTGAGAAATATTCTTTCCCCATAAAATTCAATACTAAAGCAGAGCGGAATAAACAAAACAAACAAAAAAATTAGCATAATTTCCTATGGAATTACAGCTTATCTGAATGTGGAGAAAATAGCAAGTTTCCTTTAAAAGCACTTGCAATGAAATTCACACTCTGTCAGGTGTAAATTACAGCCTATATCTCATCTTGTTCTATCTACAGCTCTTTTCATAGTCATGCATAGCACCAGTGTACAAAAATATATCCTGCATGTGATCAAGCAAGTGTGGGCACGTAAGATGCAAGCAAAATATGAGACTCAAAAAAAAATGTTTACTGGTATCTTAAAAGAAAACTAAAGTTTGTAATCATGCCATTTCTCAATCAGATAACGTGAATTACAATTGTCCTTGGGAACACCATTCAAATAAATCTAAGAAACACTTTCTTTAAGAAGTTGCAGAGAACTGAGGTAGCTAAAAATATATGACAGAAAAAGATAACAATCCTAGGAACATGATTATGTTGTACAATTACAAATATAGTAGATCACTTAAATTAAGGCCAGATCATAATAGAATTGCTCACTGGAATAGCATGGAAAGCAGGCTTTTCATCTTTTTTTCCCCCAGTGTTTTATGCAAGATTTTCTGCTTGCATATGCTTTATGACATCTAATAGATTACTTCAGACAAGTATCTCCACACCATAGTAAAATCTGCAGAAACCTGGTTTCATCTATACTCATCTTCGAAATAGTGAACTCCTCCCTGAGTCCTGTGGATTGGAGATGCTGTCAAGTGCATCACTGGGACACAATGAAGCATCACTGAGTTTGGGAGGAGTCGCCAGATAGAGTTGTAGTGCACTGTCGTGTTATTTCAGGGTCCATATTTCAGGGTCCAAACAAGATTTCAGCCTGGGAGAAATTCAGTGTTGTTAATCTTTAGGACAACTGTGGCTAGGGGCAAGGAAGCGGCGTATTTAGTTTAATTACACAGCCAGAAATGCCTGAGCTAGGAAATTCTGTCTTTACAGTTGGCAATTTCCTTTCATTCAGGAATAGTTTAAATGTCTTAATTGTTAAGCTATCTATACAAAGTCTATACCTCAGGTTTACTACTGATTAGCTCTCCAAATATTTAGCAGTTGATGAAGACTGGGTATCTACCACAGCACAGAAAGAGAAGCAATAATTCTCTGGATGATAAAACCTTTTTGGGGCACTAAAATTAAAAATCTGCTTGCTCAAATAGGGCCAGAACAAAATAGTTTTGTATGACTTCCCCATGAATGAAAAGAAATTACATACCTGCTATGAATGGCTACAGAACTTCTGAAGACTCTGCAGACAGGCTCCCCAACTTTCCTGTCATGTCTGGCACAGGTTTTTGCACTTTACAGGACAAGGCAATCAAGCTTTGACCCTTAGCTTCCTCATAATCAACATTTGTGCTAGTAAATTCAGTTTAATGGAATTCATTCATGTTTCTAAGGGGAGTTTAATGATGGAAAGATTCATGCTTCATCTCATCTCAGTGGTAGTAAGATTCACATATGCAGATCCATCACCCAGAATGGCCTGGCCTCTGTTATCATTAATTGAAGCATATTAAGAGACTTAGCAGAAAAAAAAATCCGAATATGAAATGTCAAGAGACAGATCCATCTAGTTTCATATCCTGTAGTTATAATATACCTTAAATACTGTTAATTAGGAGATATTGTTCCTGGTGGAAGATCATCTGACATAGTTTCTGTTGGTGATTAAACATAGAACAGAATTCAATACATTTGTTGAATGTGGGATCTGTTTGTTGTGACCATACAATTCTATCTAGAGTATCATTCCTGCTACATAGCAAAACAAAAGAAACTTGCAGGTCAAAAATATTTCCCTTGACTCATGATGCTTTAATATTCCTTGCTGCCTCCTTACATTTTCTGCTGCTGGCCCCTTAGGACTCTAGCACATGTTGCAGCTCCCACTAAGGAGGGGTATGAGGCTTCTCACTGGGCTTCAACTGAGCTACATCAGAGCCTAAATGAACAGCAGTTATGAGAAAAGGCGAGGGAAGACAAGTGCTACAGGAATTACCCTCTGTGGAAGAACAGTGAAGTTGGACAGAGAATCAATGAAGGCTTCAGTACCGTTTGTGAAAGAGTAATCTTTGATTTATTGGAGGAGTGCTATTATGTGGAATCCTTTCCTCATACAGTGTAAAATACAAAAATTAGAAACTCAGGCTGAAGCCATGAGCTTAGCTTCTGCTGGTGCCAATATGGTTTGCTCACACTCATTGATCTATGGCTATATATGACCCTGAAATACATTTTGCTGGGTTGCCTGAGATCTTTGCTCATGCCTAGAATAGAAATGATGGGATTGGTTTTATCACTGAAAAGCAGTGCATATCTTCTGCCTGCAAAGTAGCCAAATTAACATTTGTGAAGTAATCTTTTTTTCCTCAGTTACCAAAAAAAAACACAAAAAGAAAAAAAACCAAAAACACCAGCATAATTGGCTAGACTACTTGTACTAGGAAAAGTCTTGGTTTTCACAAACTCTGTGCACACTGGTTTCCTAAATGCTTGTTTACTCTGAACTGCAACAATTGTGATAAATCATTTGCTATTTACTCTTCAGTGCTGCTGTATGCTTTGGGCAAAAATTTTTTCTGTACATTATTTATTTATTTCTAATAGCAAAACCACTATTTTAACACATTTTTCCATTCCCGGTGACGGATTTTATCTTTGATATGTGATCCAGTTATTTAACTACCTCTCACTACATCTCCCATGAATTGTTTACACAGCAACTCGGCAGCATAATTTGCATATCACAGGAAAGATCCCATTACATGTTCCCAGAGGTGCGGTTTCACAAGCTTTATCACTTTCTGCCACCTATGCACATCTCAGAAGCTGAGTGTCTGGTTAATCCAGAAAGGCACTTCTTGGCTGCCAATAGTAATTAAACATTAATGGTGCAGTTACAACCTTTCCAGCCACTCAGAACCTATCTTCCCATTGTCTAAGACAAATATAATACCTAAAAAGATATTTATCTTTTCATACAAATTTTTCTGCCACAGGAAAATCACAGATCTTTACCTTTAATGCATTCTGTTCAGCTGTTGCAGACTTGACCTAAAATAATTAAACAAGGAACAAATGCACAAAGGAAAATAGTTGGAAAGAAGGGAAATATGCTTAGAAGCAGAGGAACTGAACACACCACGAAAGAGCCAGAGAAGATGTAGAGCTGGACATGGTATTTGCTCTCCAGACTTATTTGGTGACTGAATGGGACAATGGCCCTCACTGCAGGCTTCATGGTGATGAAATGTCCATGTCTGGGTGTATTCCAGATTATTCTTCACCACTGTATGAAACATTAAAAACTAACAGCAGCGTAACTTTCACTGAGAAGAGCACATACTCCAAGAACACTCTAGCAACATCAAAGCATACAATCACTAAGGATCAGGGCGCAGGAATTAAAGGGAAGGCAGAACCACAAGTCAAACACCAACGAATTTTCTTGCATAAAGCACTGCTGCCCCCAGATCTTTTCCCTATAAGCAGACAAACTGTGCCTTCAGACAGAGTTTTCCAATGCACATTTGGGGGAAACAAACATTGCAGGTACCAAATTTTGTTAACTTTGATTTTCACCCTGAAAATCCACCTTGCAGTAAAAGACTACTGACACGAAGTTTCAGAAAGGCAAACTCTATGTGAATTTGGAATCCGAGATCTAGAGTAGAATTATTAACAAAAATAAGGCACTTTTCAGAAAGTGCCTCATGCAAACCTAGCAACACCCCTCCAGCTGCATTCAGTGCAATAGCCAACCCAGCATCTTTCTCTCCAGCAATACGAAAAACCCACAAGCTCCTCAACACCACAGAAGGCTTGAAGAGAGAGAAAGGGTTAATTCACTGACAAAACTAATGGGCTATTGAGTCAGTAGCCTTTGAGTCACAAAGTCAACCTCAGCGAACATTGATTGAAACTGGTCGTATCTCACAGCCCAAGATCGCATTATATAGTGCAATAGCCAGCAGTCACAGTGACAGAGCAACAGGGAGATGAAGCACAGCTGTCTTCTCAAGTCCAAGTATAGCCTGGTGGGCAGGAAGGAAAATCAGAGCTGTTCCTGCCTGTTTGAAAGAGAGCATTTAGTTTTCAAGCCTGTCAGCATGATTCTTTTTGAATGCATTATGTTCACTGACATGCTACCCTGACATTTTGTTTAGTAGTACAAAAAAACCCGAAACCTACAACAAGAGGTAAGGTTATAAAATCAAATATGATGTTTTCTGCATGTTAAAAGAAGTATTGCTTCCACAGAGACCTGGTAGCTCAAACAGCTGCAGCACAGTGCCAGTACATGAAAACCAAAAAATGGAACTGACCTGGGTTTCACGGTTCAAGCGTGCCGTGGCAGGGATCCCGTCACGACTTCCAAATTCAAAGCTTGAATAAACACAGTTGTAGTTTCTTGAAGTGGATGCTTTTAATGAAGTCTGAAAAGGGTGAGAGAAAGGGCAAATACTCCTGAAACCTATGTCTCTTAGGTAGAAATTCTGCCTGGAGAAGCCCAGCTCGTGACTGTTTGCTATTAAGACTGTACAGGAGAGAGGGAGCGTCTTTGAATTCACATACTTAATGCTCAGTGGTGTGTCTGCAGAGTGGCAGGAAATAAACAACAGCGAGGAGGGGTTAACCAGAGACCTGCTGGCTAAAATCTATATGCCTGGAAACAGAAGGGAGAGGGCTGCAAGGTCAGATATAGTTCAATTGTTTCTAATAGGGGGATCTGCCACAGAGCTACCAGGCACAGACACAGACACCTATCAAAGGCTGTACCCGTTTTCCATCTCCCCCTAAACCCAAAATAGCAGTTGTGCCTCATGTCATGTCAGTTTTTCCAAACTGATCTAGAACATCCTAATTCCCAAATATAGCATCACTAGGAAGCTATACAGTAGATAGAAAGGGAGGACAGAGAGATCAAATTAGCCATCTATGCATGGTTCTCCATCACATCTAAAACTCCTAAATCACACCCTGAGATGTGTTCTCTAACTTATTTCCTAAGACAGCTGTGTGCCTTATGAAATAATGTCCCCATTCTGCCATAACTGCATCAAGAGAACATCCACACAGATGGTCAGATGCAAGTAAAAGTGTCTCTGAGCCTGATAGGAGATGGTAGAGGGAAAATCCCTTTACTTGGAGCCTATCTAGCAAAATTTCACCACTGCACCAAGTCACAACTGACTCAGCAGGCAGTCAAGGGAAGCGCTTTGTGAAGCCACCAGCCATGTATGCAGACGGGCATGGAGGTGGGCATGGGGCACATCGTGTGTCAGAGTCCAGATATGGGGATGGCTTGAGAGGAAGAGGGACAGCAGCTGCCCACTACACATGAGATGTGCAGAGGAAGAATGAGCTAAGCTATGCTTCCAAAGAGCTCCTTCTGCTGCAAGATGCAAAGGATGCAGCAGACGTGTTCCAGAGGATCCATCACAAGCACCAACATTGCCATAAATCAGATATTGTTGCAGACATTTAGTCTTTTTGATAGTAGCTTTTCTTAGAGGAGGAAACCTTTCTTAGAGAAAGACCTGGGATACTGCCTCCCCCTCCCCCAAAAAAACACCAAAATCAAACTCAACTCTATTAACTGAATTGTTGGGCAACGGTATTGAGGAAACACCCAGTACCAATGGAGAAATATACTGTAAAGCATAAAGTAGTACTGTGATTGCATGCATTTTTTTGCATACAGAGTATTTATAGATGTTAACCCGGGCAATTTCATATCTCTAGATATTTACTCTATGCTTGTCAAACGAAATGGCATTTTTCATCCCATTTTGACTGGAAGAGAGAATTTGTTTGGATTATAAATTGTTTAGAATTACTTGTTAATGCTGTCGGCTTTTCTGTATCTGCTTGTAGGAGGGACAGGAGGGAGAAAACAAATAATACATTACACACAAAAACACAGTGGAGAAAAATAGAAAGCAAGCTCTGTTTTCAACACATTTAAATGGTTCAAATGAGAAGAATCAGTTGCCGTGGAAGCAGATCTGCAGCTGAATGAAACCTTTCACCTGTCCAACATATGAAATATTTATTATCTGAGGGTGACTAGAGATTAAATAAGCCAGACATACAATGCAGAAAGCAGACCCTGGCTCATCACCTCCATGATTTTCACAGGTTCTATAGCAGCCAGATTAGATTTTGCCATAGAGAAAGGAAAGTGGGCTCAATTGCAGTATTGGGTGTCAGGAGAAATAAAACTAGAGGAAAGCAACTTCTCAACTTTAACTTAACCATGTTGGTGAAGCAAAATGATGATCCTCTGCTGTGTTTAGTAAGGCTGGAAAATGTTATCATTTCCAATTACAGAGAAGAGCCCACTCTCTCTTTAGTTAATTACTTTTCCAATAAATTATTCTTGGCCACTTATTTCCCCATAAAAAAATGCCTAGTCTTTTTGCCTTGTAGAAGTTTTTGGGTTGTTTTCCCTTCTTTATTATTTCCTTACTTTGTGTGGGTTGGACTTTATTATGGGGCTGAAACTTGGCAGAAATCCAGACACAACACTCTGAAAAATGTTCATACTAAAATTCAGTGATGGGATTCCTTGTTCATTTTATCTCAGAGCCTCCCTGATAATTCAGTCCTTCAAAACTGAGCACAATTGATGCAAAAGTGGGTATGTAATCCAGGCAATTTTATTTTTCATAAAAATACTTCAGACATTTCTTTTTGCTGTAGACACAACCCTGACTATGAACAAAAGCCAAAGCCATTATTTAAGAAAGTGATAATTTTGCACAGCTGCTTTCAGCATTGAATCACACCTGGAAATAACATTTTTGCTCTTTATCATATTCATTTCCCAGAAAATCTGAATTTCCAAGGCCTTTGGCATCCTTACTATAGCTAAACAGCTTTAATGTCTGCATTCTAAGATGCTGAAATTGTCTAATTAAGCTAAGGGTTAAAAATAAAGAAAAATTCCATTGTTATTAAATCATAAATGATACTATGATAAAGTATATTTCTGCTAAGTCTGGTGTCTCTGTATGAAGTGACTGAAAAGTTGTAGGGAGTTAACACAAAACATCAAAATATGATCACTTTTTTCTGTTCATGCCTGCTGCATTTGGTAATTGCATGAAGGTTTTAGCAGTAAATATTGGAACATGATTTCAAGTCAGATTTACAGGCTCTTGGGTGCTGCATAGGTCTGATCCTGCCCCAGCAATAGAAGTGAGGATGGAAGTGAGGTAAAATGGGGAGGGGACAAAGAACAGCAGAAGAAAAGAGGCCGCATGGTACCTGAGCAGTGCCACTGAACAAACTGTGCCACCACAGAACCAATGCACACACTGCAGAAACATGGGGATCCTTGGCTTCACAGTGGCAGATGACATTTATCTCTAGCCTCTTCCACAACACAATTAGACCATAAAATATTAATCAGTCCTCTCTTCCAGTTATGCTCTTCTGGCACTAGTCCTGTGCCTTAATAGAGTGTACCTCTGATGGCGCAGGCAGGAGCCCTTTCCATACCTAGCACATTATACTCAGCTATACACTCTGGCTTTTCCTAGTCTCAGCCTTCATTTTCATTGCTTGTGCGCAAATGCTTCCACCACATCTGTTACAGTGCCTTTGCCCTCTCACAGAGTGCTGTGCTTATGCTTTCCCAAGTTTGCCAGAGACTGCTAGGCTCCAAGTGCCCAAAAAAGCACAGAACGTGCCTTCTTTCCTGCCTTTCCATCTGCCTGGAATACCCTCCCTTGTTTCCCACCGTGGTACATCAAGTACCTTCCCTTTCTTTGAGAAAACTGAGAATCCATCTGTTCGGCAAGTTGCTCCATCTGCAACACCGACAAGTCCAGTGATGTGCTGCCAATATTCCAACAAAGGGCTCCTCTAAACCCATTCCCCTGAGTCAGTAACACAGCCCCCGTACCCAGGGTGGGGATGCTCACAGACAGGAGGCGTGTGGAACTGGCAGGCTCTATTCATTTGGTTATTCCATTTCCACAAAATGCTTTCACATATCCAAGGAAAGAGGCAGCGCCATTTGGCAAATACATTTGTGTTACGTGCCTCCTACCAGAACTGTTAATATTTGAGTCTTGGGAAGAAAAAATAACAAACAAAAGAACCCACTTTGTTGAGACAGTTGCAGTGTGTGCACCTGGACAAAACACAAGAGATGACAGTGGTAGGGAGGGGTCTAAATCCCTTTAAGGGACTCCTCGGGAGCGTATCTGTGTCAAGCAAATTAGTGAAAGGGGCCCGGTTACAAAAAAGGAAATCATGCCAAGTTTTCCTTTTAGTGTGAGCTAGCGAAGGGTCGAGCTCTGCAAATGTGCCTGGTTAGTCTGAGAACAATGGTGAGGGAAGAGGGGTGAACAGTTAAGGCAGACAGTTTTTCAGAAGGGAACTGTACACCACTTTTGCCATTCCTACTTCTGTATCAGGTGTGAATACATATCATACTGCTTGTAAATATATATATATATATGCATGTGTGTATAAACACACGTGAATTAGACAGTTGCTTTTACAAACTTTGGCTGCTGCTTTTGCTTCAAAAGCTGTTCTGTCTCAGGCATTTTAGAAGTCCAGGCTTGATATTTTTCCATATGTGGTTATACAGAATTTGATACAGGCAGGCCAGGATGCTCTAACTGCATGTACTTTGGATTGACCACTTTTCCTGTTGCTGTTTATTAGCTGCACAGTGTTAGATTTATGACAAGTTTCAGAGACATATATATGGCCAGCTGTTAAATTAAATTAAACTCCCAAATTTTTCAAAGGTGATAGTATAATATATTATTTGCCCTTTTCTATTTCTTTTTAATCAGCAGTTTTTTAGGATGGTCTTCATAAAAAATAGGAGAACACTCTGCAGAGAAATAAGAGAACAACTCTGTTCTGTTGGAACACATGATCACACCACTTCAAATCTCTTACCCTGACTGCTTTTCAAATAAGGAAAATAAACCAAAAAAAAAAACAAAAAAAAAGCCAAAAAAAGAGAAAAAAAACCCCAAAAAAACCCCACCAAAACCCAAACCAATAAATCAAACAAAACATAATGAAACAACCAAAAATTGGACTCAACAACTCAGTGTTGAGTTCAACAGATGACTTTTGTTGGGTTTGAAGAATAATGCAAGATTAACAGGAGTGGTTGCTATCATACAGTTTAGTTTGATAGCATCAAAATATAATACATGTATACATGTGCAAATTATAGCACTACATAATCTCTATTTATATGCCAGGAAACAATTTTAAAAGTATGTTCTGCTTTTGTCTATTTTGGCTGCCACATAAGTGGCAAAGTATCAAGCCTCTTACCTAAAAATGCAGGCAATGCCAGTGTGTCTGCCCTGTAATGAGTTCTTCCAGAAAGAAATCCTGATCCTTATCTAGCAGAGCACATCAGCACATGTTGGAGATCACCCATCTATAGCAA